TGCCCAATCCATATTCGGTGCTGAGACTAAATTTGGCCAAAGCGAATCGCCGTTCGGGAAACAGACGGGCCGCCACATCATCTTATGCCAACACCGCAAGGCCAGATGGTCATGGCTGACACAAAGAATCAGAGCACACTCAAGGCATTTATCGATTTTTCTGCACGTTTAAATTCTACGGCGGAACACTGTGCACACACAAACTGTTTCTACTACTGTTCTGTGAGTATGTCTCTGGAGATAAATCCGCGACGGATTTCAAAACGTCAGGCGAATAAATATATTGTCCCAGCGATCGAGTCGTCTTCTACTTCTCAACTAATGGCTTTATTATGATAACACAAATAGACCACATATACATTCCCTTATAGTCCAACACTGTAGTATCCGAAGTGAGCGTAAAAAATGGGCATTTGCTTCAGGGCCATATGAAAAAAAATATAATATGTTTCAAAGCCTAAGGTCAGGAAGAGCAACCAGCTCATTCAAAGATGTTTCACTGAAAAAAGCAATTGGTCAAAGCGAAACTGATGGAAAGCCACAACCAGGTCATTCATCAGCATGTAAGGCATTAAACACACTCCGAATTTATCGCGGCGCCGATCATGCGGTTGATTTCAAGCTGTTGATAGTCGACATCAGATTGACAGGATGACGTGAATCCTGTTTTTATCTAGTCGCATTTGTCGGATTACGATTTGCAACTAACTAAGAAAAGGCCGCAATTGGGTGCGCACCACTGACCAAACCGTTTGGATAGAGTAGGTTACATGAATTGGGACATTTTTATTCTGGTGAAGATATCGCCCCATAGTTCTGTTTGTCCGCATATTTCCATTGTATTGGCACAAAACTTGTGAAATGTAAGAATTGCTGTCCCCAGCGTTGTTTCTGGGAAACAGAGTTCGCTATTGGACCAACATTTTCTGCTTTCTAAGGGACACCATGCCACTTTCCAGACAAAATTGTCTAGTTCAATCATCGTTTTACGTCTTAACCATTGTGATGTGTGTTGTGCATAGTTTGAATGCTTCATCCATTATTTAATTGGTACTCCGCCGTTTGCAGTAGCAAATAAGTGGTTATATTAACCACACGTTTTTGTGCATATATTTGACTACGCACAGCGACTAAAACCAGCAAGCAGTTACGCAACCTGTCTTTGTTACTCCAGTGTTATGTTCAAAAACTTTTTCGAACTAAAATGCAACGAAAAAGCGATAAGCAGAGAACTTACCCAATTCTACGTTCAATCCATCGTCGGCAAACATGCATAGATAAACACAATACTCGGTATGAAGGCTTTGGACATGTATACGGCCTCAAAAAACGATTTCGATACTGTTGAAATGGAACCGACAAAGCAAAAGGAGAACGGAGTGGACATTTCTGGCTTGCTAGCCGTCATCAGCTCATCAGACGCAATCTCAAGGGTTGGAACCCCGAGATTCGAGCCCGGGACTTTTGGTCATTGTATTCAATACTCTAGAACGGCACCACGGGTTGAGATCGGGAAAATGATGAATATATGTGCTTCGCCGATCTAGTAGGGGAACAATTAAGCTCCACTTTGCCCAGGAGCTCACAACGTGAACCCGCCAGACCGTCATGTAGTGAAAATGATGGTATGATGAACCGGATCCGACTTTCGATACTTCTATATTTTTCACATATCCCCTAATCCATCACTACTTTTACTCGCCAATGTTTAAATGTTACGCAAACATTTATAAGGTGGATGTATAGTTCATCGCGGGTATAGGCGTTGAAGAGGGTGCCCCGAAAAATAACTAATTAGTTATAACATAAATATACACTTCGTAAATGATATTTATAAGCCATATTATACTTTTTTACTCCTAAGAGGAAAAAGTGTCACGAGTGCAGGGAGATACTTACGGACATTCATTTTCGAACAGCCTTCTGTTGCAATACCATTGATGGCTGAGATAATAAACCCGAGTATGGGGCTTCCTAATAAGCCAACCCAAACACCCTCCCGAGTTAGTCGACACCAGTAGAGGCTCAGGCTGATGATTCCGGCCAGGGGAGCAGCCAGAACAGAGCAAATGCTCCTGTAGCTGTTTAATGTCGTCTAAATGAGAAAACAATGTTGGCATTCAATTTCGCAAACGAGAAAAAAGTGCATCCATTGATGAACAAACAGCAACGCCGTTATTGATGGTAATCAATTGTTTTTACTTTCCCATTCCTAGAATGCATTGCTAAGCTTAATGGATGATAGTCTAAATTATGCATATAGGGTGGTCTGTAATCGAGGTCATACATTATTCTTAAAAAGGCCACTGGGCAGAATCACGGCCGTCGACTAAATGACTACGTAACCACGCGCCGTGCAGCAAGCCGGCCGCCAAACACACCGGACAGCCGGTAGCCAATTAGTGTGCGTTGTTGTATCGAACACGCGTAATGCTCTTGCTGACGATATTTTTCCGTTGTGCACAAACCGGCCAATCGCTGACTGCCGCATCACGTGGCGGAAATTTCAAAAAACGCCCGTCAAGACTTTCCATCCCCCATTGGCCGGCACGTATAGTTAGATACCAATTATATTTTTGGTTAACGGCACAGCAACCTGGAATAAGGTGCACAGAATTATTAAAACTCAGCAAAGCTATCCTTTGTTTAAGAGAGCTGTCACTAGTTTTCTACATTCAGGACAACTTATACGATTTTGAGGGGCTGACTCGGTGGAATCTCTCTTTTACTCAGATGGCGGTCGGGGACTTTGAACCCTGCCAGTCCTCATACTGAGGATAATGGTCCTGAATCTGCGGCCCGCAATTGGCTAATTCTTTAGCCGTCAGCGAGCCACTGTTCGCCAACAAACACACCGCTGGTGCAAAATCTCGAACTAATTATACCCAAAAAAGATTAAGACCACTGTTTTCCCGCAGTTTTTCTCTGCTTATGGTACATATCTTTTTTAGTATCGTACGTTTGAAGTCAGGTTCTTTATCACTTGAAACAAACTACCTATTTCGCGCACTATTGAGCAGTCACAAAACTAAAACAAAACCAATACTGACTGCAAAAGGGGAAGTTTGTTTTAGGTTTTCTCCTGTCTACGAGGGTTTGGAAGGTGCCCAAAAGGTGATTTACCGATTAACCCACTTTTTAAAATTGCCTGCAAATCGGCAATCCATAAACAAAATATTCAATAAATAAATATAGTGAACTTGGAACTGAGAAAAACTCCGTGCTCGCAGACTGGTAAGAAGTACTTGTTTCTTAAACAGGCCCAATTTTTAATCTACCTGTTGGGAGATAACAGGCATTTTAATATCCAATCTTTGGTAAAACTCCTTTCATTGCATATTTCTAGTCATTAAGGGACTGTTTGCATGTAATCTACATTGAGTCCCAAGGCATTTTCGGACGCGCATTACGCCTTACCTATCGGTGAACGCAATTCCATCATAATATCTTTCTGCATTTTCAACTGACAATAATAGAAAAAAATTATGTAACGTGATGTGAACAAAAACGGTGACGAAAAGCACTTACATAATTGTTCTGGAGAAGAATTGCTGCTGGTGCAATGCACACCAAAACGAGAACCAATAGCCTTGAGCAGAGGAGTTTTAAATCAGCTTGATAGGTGCGGTGGGCTCCATGAATTCGACAAGTGAATGGCATAATGGTGTTCTTCGTCGACGCTTGGCGTTGCCTTAAGGTGGCGGAGGAAGAAACTAGTGATTCAACGTCTTCAGGACGAATGTGGGGCGTAAGCCTTGAAACGTAGATGCCCAAAACTGACTGCACACATATTAGGCATATCTAAGCTGGTGGAAGACTCACATTGTGTCTAGATTGCAATCCGCACAGACCAGTATGCTGCAACACCGGCACTCACTCTGACGATCAGAGAAGTTACCTTGCGGTTTGCCGCAGAGAAGGCAGACCGCAAAAGATTCGGTGCGCTTAAAGGGCTGCAAAAGTCCAAAGCTTGTGAACAGCAATACCTTTAAAACACATTTTCATTTGTTCACAGTCCAATATAAATTATGCCAGCAAATAACAATATAGAAGAAATATATTAGGTTGGGTAAAAATAAAATCGGTTGATGAAATTTTGATAAACCTTGTCCCTAGTCATGTGTCAACTTTGGTTTTATTATTTGTACTTTGGTTTTGGTTTAATTTTTAGTTTATTACTAAGTACATATTAGTTTAATTTTAGTTTTAATTTAGTTTAACCTTAGTTTTTAGCTTAGTAAGACACCAGAAACGTCAGGTAACATATCTGTTAATAACTACTTCATACTAAACTAAACTAGATTTGCTGGGCTTAGCTCAAAAAAATCTAACTAAAATAAATACTTGAGCAACTTACAACTATAGTTAAGTTAATAATTAGTGTGTTGAAAATTCCCGACATTCCAATCTAGTTAACTTTTCCATGGAACAGCCATGTTGTACCATCGAAAAGACAGAGTCAAAAGATGAATATGCAGTGATTGCCATGCAGAACTTAACTTCTGTGCGTTCATTCGTGTTCCATTAGGTGGCATATTATTTAACTAGAATGCGCTCATATACCATCAAAGGTTCTCATGAAAATCGCACAATGCAGTCATTGACATTCAGTCTGGATAGCGGTGCAGTCACCTTGTCATTTTACAGCCTCCGTCGCCCCCTCCCCAAGACTGTTGTGGACTAGTCACTAGGCCGGCGATGGCGATGAGAATAATGGCGGGGAAGAAATTTGAACCAGTGATCTCATCCCCGCTTCGCACATAGCAAGGCAGAGTCAGACCGACTAGAATATCGTCGTTGGATTTGCGTACCGCGTGCGCCCATTTCTTAAAATCTCGCCCTCACTCTCTTCCTCATCTCATTTTTGTATCAGCGGACTGAAGGTGGGGTCATCTGCGTCTTTTTTCCTGCTGGTTAAGTGGGAGTTATGCAGTTGACAAGAATCAGATGTAAGTGGAACAGCTGCCAGATAATAGATAGTTTAGGAGCACACCAGAGACAAATTTGGTCCCGGTTTGGCCCAAAGGAGCAAGTCATCACAAACGTACCTTGATGTAGGTCTGAATAAAGTCATGGAGGATGAGGGAGATGAGACCGAGCACGTTGCAGGCACACGACGCTACTGACGTGGTTATGACTACGCAATACAGCAGAAAAATCCCTCGACGACCAGCAATAAACGCGGGCACGGCGAAGGGCTTCAAAACTGCAGATAAGAGCATTTTTTGGGAGTTTTATTATGAATAGGATCACAGGCAAAATATATCCGAACACTTCTATTTATATATGGGATTTTTATGCTTAACGTTAGCAAATGAGACTGAAAAATCACACCAGATCCACGAGAAGGATGCACGACGCAGAACCAAGACCGCGTGCCATAACGACAAGGAGGCGCGCAGGGACGATAATGTGAGACGGCTTGCGCGTGGACTTATCACGAATGCTACCCTCGGCCCCCACCCAATTTACTCGTAACTGAACGCCTCAACATACCAATGCTTGCTCTTCTCTCAGTTCCTTCAACGATAGCCGTTAGTGTGAAGCCGAAAGCTCAAACTAATAAAAATACTCTCCCACTGATCGCACCTTTGTCTTCTTTACTTTGATTCATGCCCAAATATTTTTTGCCTTAACTTACTTTTATGTAGTTTTCCACTCATCAGAATGTTAGTTTTTCCTGAACGCTTGTCTTTAATTCACTACCAGTATTTCTGAAAGTATTCCTTGAAGATAAACAGAAAATAACTTCAAATACTATTTGCCGAGAACGACATGTAACCCATACGCGTAAAAGGTTTTCATTACATAAGGTATTTCGACGTGTCAAGCAAAGTAGGTAAAATATCCCCATTACTCTGCCCATATACCTAAAAGAAAAGTGTTATCTCCCAAAGCCCTCATTTTCGGTGAATGCTCGTTGAATAACAGGCTCTAGAAATTAAAGGAGCGTCCAACTTAAATATTTCAGGTAAACTCTAGCGGCCCTGTGATCAATCCCAAAGAGGTGGAAATAAGTCAACAAGCTTTTTCAACTTATTTACTTGCCTTCAACTGCAACACTTCAGGAATATGTGCCTTTAACGCCATCGTCAAGGAA